AGGTGTTCTAGGTCTTCCACAATGGATGTCATAATTTTTTATGGCACCATCATTATTAGTGGTATATTTTGTTTTGACTTATTGTACAGATCCCTCCATTTTACTCTGTTTCATCTGCTGGCTTTTAGGCCTTGAAGTTTATGTTGTCATATTTTTTTCATGTTTGTCAAGTCATATTAATGTAAGAAACAAGAAAAAGGAAAACTATTTTCGTTGCTTTATGGTCGGTAAATCTAAATTTTTGTCTGATCTTGTTTTTATGTATCCTGAAGCATTTGGAAACTGCTGAAAATATATGTTGTGGCAAATTGAAAGTTGAGAATGGTTCTTTTTGTGCTGGCTACTTTTCTGCATTTCAAAGGTCAAGTAAAAGCACTTTTATTTCTATAGTTCTTTGTTTCACAAACTTTTTTTTTCTAGAATGTTCTGATCAGAGCTTGTCTATTGTGTCACTAATTATGATGCCTGTTGATTCTTTGAGGTAGGAACTATTTGCATACAGCAAAATTATGCTGGACATCTTATCTTGTCCTAGGTTCCCTTGTTCCTTGGACACAAGAGAGTTCTGTGCACCTTCATTCTCGGCTGGCTGCCGATGACATAGTTTCAACAACTTATTATTACAATTTTTTTATTGGAACTATCCACAATTTAGATCAGAAGCATTGGTTGTAATGGTCCCTGTCACACTCCAGTCAGCATCTTCAATATGCATTAGCCATCTTAATTGGATTTGTACAAAATTTGGAGAGTACTATTCCAACTGGCGAGGATTGTGTATTTGTGTGATTGTTCAATAGATTCTTGACTAAAGCATGTGCAAGCTGAAGAAAATATAAGCTTACTTCTTAGGATAAATGCAAGCTTTGAGATCTTTCATAGAATATTATGCTACACTCAATAGTTAGGTCATCCATTCTTTCTCTTCTTCTATCTTTCGTTTTCATGTACACCTCATTGATAGAGTACAGGTCAAAGGGGCACGAGCTATTCTTATTCTACATATTCTTTATTCCCGGTGTTATGGTCTATCTTTCTCCTTTTCTCTCCACTAGTCCCACAGTGAGGTCATTTGGGCCATGTTTTCTACTTTTTTCCTGCCTCTGATGGGTGCTTTGTCAAAGTGGTTTGCTTTTGAGCTTGAGTGCCTTAATCCCGAAAGAAGCTTCCAATCAGCTGATGACAAAGAGGGAGCTCAAAAGCTAAATGAAAGTTATCCTCATGTAACATCAAAAGAAGCTGACTTTACTGAGTTGTTTGAAGGACCGATCCTACTGATCTAACTTTTAGTTTCTTTCAGCTCATAAGACAGAAATTGGCCATTGTTATGTACAGCAACAAAAATATTTTGTTACTTTTGATGAAAAAAAATCTCTTTTTATCATTACATAATATTTTTTTTCTTCTGAAAATTATGGAAGCAACTTGTGTTTATAAGCGTAAGATTGTATGCATGGATCTTAGTTAGATCTGAAACAAATAAATGAGATTGTCAAATGCCATTTTGCTGCTGAAGATTATTTTTTAACAATGATAAACAAATATTCTTTTATGCTATGCCTCAATTAAATAGTTGTAGAATAGTTATCATAAACTCTGATTTTTGTACAGCTGAAGGCCTGGTCACTAGTAGCATGTGAAGCAACACATTGGCAGGTGATATTCCATGTTTTTTCGATTGCTTCTTGCATTCTTTTTCTCATTTCCTTCACCTGGATTTATGAATCATATGCTGCCATTATAGTTATACGCTTCATGTTATGGGTTCCTTTTATGTGGAAATTAACTTGTCTGACCATAATTTGAAGGTTTTTATGAGTATAGCTAGTACTTCAAGCTTAATACCAATAGGCATAATGATGAAACATGGCCCTCCTCATTCATTGCCTTCTTTCATGTTGGATTTAGAAACTCTTGGGTCAAACATAGTGACTTTGTTAGGTGGTCAACCATCAGCTAAATGGATACAGATATAGGTCAGATTCCAAAATGGAACTGTGGGAGTGGAAATGCCAACAGTCATTAAGTAGTTAGTAGTCATTTGGTCTCAAAGTGGTTGAGCATTTCATGTCCTGACTTATAATCAGCCCTTTTGACTGAGAAATCTTCTGCCTCCACTAAATTTTGTTTGACTAATGAGAGAAAGTTAGATGGTGCTAAGGTCTGGAGAAATCAGTGAGCTGGATTTGTCTGTGTGCATCTTGTTTTTTTTCTTGTTTTAATCAGTTGGAGGTAAATATGGTGGATCTAATTCTTTCCATTTGCCTAACATAGGTGGTTTTTTTATTCCCAATTTCCTTTTGTGATGTATAATAACTTCTATAGAGCATGTTAGCATAGAGTGCCCATGTTTCTGAGTAGTACTATGTTCTCCCTTGTGATTGTGAAGAATAAGAGAGAGGATACTTCTGTTTGGTAGGACTCACTTGGGTTGTGGCCCTGGAAAAGGAGACTTTGCTGGCTGTGGCAGAAACTTAGGACTATGTTCAGTGGGAGAAGAGATGGGTCCATGGGGAACTTTCTCTCTCTTTTCCTTGTCTTGTTCTCACTCAACCTTCTTCACACCCTATGAAGTCTGTTGCTTGTATTATTGCAGGAACATTTGGAAGTAGCTGTTTCTGTCACCCTTCTATTCCCCACTTGACAGACAAGCAAGCCAATTTAGACCTCTCTTCTTATATCCGAGCTTTCCTGGTCCTATTCCTATCTGCTGTACTTTTAACCCGCATGAACTAATGCCATGCTTGTCTTTATAGATCCAGGAATCAGAGGAGGATGCAGTTCTGATGACAGCCAGTAAAGAACCTAAGCAAATGGTAAATCGATCATTCTTCTCAATCAAGATCATTGAGTTATTTATGTGCAAAGGAACCTCTCATTCTTAAGCTTAACATCTCTTTCCTGCTCTCACTTCCTAGCTACTTACATGTCTACATGAAGACTAATAATTACTACTGTTGCATTGGCAGAGGCAACACTCTTGTTCGATGAAGCTACTTTGCAAGCTTTCAGCTTCTTCTTTCAGTAGAAGATCAAAAGCTCTGCTCCTCTACGAGGCCTCCTGGAAGTTCAGAGATCGACAAAGTGCCGCCGGGTTGACATGCAGCAGTGTTGGTACCTGATTCTTGATCTCTCTCTTCGGCTGGAAGGCCTTCAGTAGCTCTCCATTACTGATGCCAACCATTGTCCATAAAGAGCTCTTTGCAGCTTCTTCAGGGTCATCAATCCTGGGTGTTTTTGGAATCAAAATGCATGTGTCATCCCTCGAGTGCTTGCCCAGGGTGGGAGTAGTACTGGATCCTGATCTTGGGAGACAACCATCTGGAGAAGAGGAAGCTGCAGGAGATAGCCATGGACCACTCCAGTAAGCTGCAGCAGGGTAGAAGGGAACTGGAAGGCTGGAAGCACAAAAAGAAAGTGCTGGGTTCCAAGGATATCGCCAGGGAGACCCACTGAAACATGGAATTGGAGCAATTGTCCTCTGATAATTCTGACTACCCTTTGCATTTAGAGTATCTGAAGGCCTACTCGACTTCTCATCACCATTGTTCATGGTAGAAGGTGGTGGTGCCATCTCCCCGTGGATTCCATTTCTGTTGCAGCTCACCGTGTTTTCTGGTAAGACCAGTGCAGAGGCCATCGAATCAAAGTTGAGTACGGTGCTCTGTGGGTAACGGGCATCAGATTGAAGAGCTCGGATGGCAGACTCCGATAAAGCGATGCGTCGAATATGGCATGAGTTCTTGTTTTTGCGTCGACCAGCTCCGACGGGGACGTTCCTCATGGTGCCGCCGGCGGTCCAGTACCGTTGGCAGTTCCTGCAGAGGTATCGTGGCTGATTGACGCTGTAGTTGTTGTAGTAGCAGAACTTGGTGTCGAGGCTTTTGCACCGAGGGCAAGGGAGTGTCTTGTCGGGCTTCTTCACGCTTCTCTGCGATTCTTCGTCGTCTTCTTCCTCTTCTTTATGACTTGAGTTCTTCGTCGAGACGTCCTCTGGATCGACCGAAGCTGGAGTATGGAGATCGCTCGTGGATGTGGCAGGCTCGTTCTTCTCTTGTGAGTCTGATGATTCATGATCTTGTTTCCTTGATTTCAGAGCTCCTTCGCCCTCTTGATGATCCTGAAGAGTAGATTGGAGAAGGAAATTGGAACAGGAACAGTCATTTCCTCTCACCAACAAAACAGAAACGTTCTCCAGTTCATCATAGAAATCATCCTTGTTCTATCATCAAGTATCAAGGTGTGACAAAGCAGAAAGAAAGAAGAAACTCGAAGTTATCTACACAGCAAGATTCAATTTTGATATCTATGAACATCTTGGTGACTCTGATTTGCTTCCATTTCTCAGAATTGACCAGATAAAGATGACAGTTCTTGGACACTACTCAGGTTTCAGGAACTTCGCTTCAGTATCTAATCAGAAGGCACAGATTCAGGTTGAAATCCAGCCAAATCAAAGCCGGATCGAAGTGGATAATTCACCGAAACAGCGATGAATAATTGCCTCTCGATCACAAAGCAATGGTTTGTTGGGGGGAAGAGAGTTTGCAACGAGAGCAAGTGAAAACAGAGGAAAGCCCCAATATCTCAATCACAGGGAAATCAATGACAAAGATGCAGTTTTGCTGCCGAACACTTTGGCTAGAAAGGTCCAGATCAAACTTTTGAATCCTGAAGCAAGGAAAGCTCGGATCAAAAAGCCGAAAGGAACAAATCTTTCCTAGTTTCTACACACGTTCTGAATTCGTCAAACGTGATCAAGCTTCTGAACGAGCTAGTAGCTAGTAGCAGTACCTTCTCATCATGGCCGCCGCTGCTGCTTGGCCTCAGAGGGATCGTCTTGCCAAAGAGCTTGATCGCAGCATCTCCGTTCTCCGACATCTTTTTCTCCCGTTCCTGCTTCCTCTGTTCTTCTTTTCCCCCTTCCTCTGCAATTGACTCCCCCGTCTCGGGGTTTAACGGGGAAGGCGGAGGGGGCGGGCCATGTCAGCAGGCCAAAGGGGATTCTGAGCCACAAGTTCCTTTTGTGGCCGCGGGAGGGCGTTATTTGATTCTCCATGCCTTTTGTTCCAACCCTACCACTGCTTTTGGAGGTACTCTTGCCACCAAAGCCAGTAACTGTGCTTAGTGTTTGACCAATTGCAAGTGATGTGGTGTCTTGATTCGGTCCCTGCTTGCAGTGTTTAAAGCACTAAATTAGGTCATCAGTGGACCAAATGGAGAGAGAAGAAGAAAGGGGAGGCCTCCTTCAATCCTACTCAGCATCCAATATCTCCTTCCCTGCTCCTCTCTGTAGCTCACTTCCCTGGTAAGTCAGTCACCTCTCTGTTCTTTTTATTTTGCCATCCAATTAGGCTTCCCTCAAAGTTCTTCATTGAATAATTCCAACACTTTATGCTTCCTTTCTGTGGCTTTCACATTCTAATTTCTATCTACTGGACAGCTGTTTAATAGTACTGTTGTCACATTTGCATAGATTTGACAATATGGGGTTTTGTGGATAGTTCTTCACCTTTATTAAGTTGATGAGTAGCAGACTAAAGAACAAGGCCTCTAAGCTTAGCTTGTGGAAGCTGACAAACCTCCAGTTTTTATTGTATTTTTGTACTATTATACTCTGATCACATGTGTCTCTTATGTGTCAAGATGAGGACATCTCATCTCCATAGCCTTATGAGGTTTAAAGTAATCTGATCCTGTGATATATTTCTTTTCCTGTGCATAAAATGTACAATATAGCAGGAGTGCAACTCCACTAGACATTCAGCAATATGAACCCAAGACTTGTCACATTGAGTTGCAATGCAAAGCAGCTCAAGTGTTCATCAAGATTCAAGTTATCACATGCTCATTGTAACTATAAACACTAAGGAGGATGGCATTATTAATTCCCACAATAAAATAGAAGCTGTAGGTTCATTGCATCCTGGTTTCTTCTCATCTTTCAATACTAAAATACCAATGGTTTCATCATGTGAATTTTATTTTGTCTCTTCCAGTAGTACAAATGTAGAATTAAATAATTAATAAGAGCCTGTCTTGGGAAGGATAGGATAGGATAGGATAGGATAAGATTTCCAGGTAAGACACTACAGTGACCTGTGGTTGCTGTAAAAGATCCATCCACAGGGATAACCCCTCTTGACCATACCAAACACTTGTCAGTTCTTCCAGTTTGTGTCAGAGTCTGAAGAATAAAAACAAAATAACCCTGTCTCTTCTTCTTTCATGCTTCCACCGAGTCATCAACCATGGTAACCAGTGATTTGCACAGAGCAGCTGGGAAAAGAGAGCACAAAACCATCAGCTATTAACACTTCATAGTAGCTGCACTGTATCAAGAACATCATACCAGTCAGAGAAAATTCTTGCCACCACCAAATAAGGTCAATGACACTGCAGTGTGGTGTGTTCCCCACTTCTGTGTTTTATTTGTAGATCAGGTAGAAATTGGGATGTGGTTGTGGCTGTTTAATCTTTCATCTCGATGCCTTAATCAATTACTAACAACTACAAAATTAAGATAAATGAACTTTTGGAAAATTAATGTAATGGAAATCTCCAGCCTTGTCATGCACCTACTAAGAAAACCATGTTGCCCATAAAAAGATTTATCTTGTACCAATCAATATCAAGACAGAGAAGACTGTCCTGTACAAACAAAGTCATGCATGAAACCATTCTGTGTCGAGTAAAAGTCGTATGTTTATTGCAAGTCCATACGGAAAATAGAGAAAAAAAAAAACCTTTTTTTATGAGAAAAAAATTCCAACTTTATATGCACAATATTGGTTTGAAGAACAGAGCAAAGACGAGTTCTAAAACAACATTTGAAGGATTGAGAGAGAGGGAAAGAGTTTGGACCGGAGCTCAATTAGTCTATTTCTTCCATGACATTACTGCTACTTTCTTCTCCACCATGACATTGCTGCTACTTTCTTCTTCTCCTCCACCTTGTTGTTGCTGCAGCTGTTCGTCGACTTCTCCCTCCCTGCTCTGCTACTCCCAAAAGCTATCGTAACGAACAGCTCGCTCACCCTCGCCGCCCCTCTCGCCGCTCCCTCCGCGCCCAAGACGTCGCCGACCTACTTCGGCTCCTCCTCCTCCGCCGCCGGCATCCGATACCTGCACACCGGGCACGACCCGTTCATCCCCAACCACTTGTCGATGCAACCGCCGTGGAACCGATGCCTGCACGGCATCTCCCTCACCACCGCCGACGCCGCCTCCTCCTCCGAAGCCGTCTCCCCGCCGACGTTGCTCGTCAGCTCGTCCAGACACACGGGGCACTCCTCGTCCGCGTGCTCCTCGCCAGGCTCCACAATCCTCATGGCACGCCAGCCGCCGCCAGCCCGGGTGGGTGCAACTCGGACAGCAGAGCCGGCTCGCCCTGGAAGATGACCATCCCCCGGGTGAGCGGGTTGAGCATGACGACCCGCTCCAGCTCCGGCGTCTCCCCCTCCGCGGGGCCCGTCCGCACCACGCCGAAGACGATGGGGAAGAGGGCGGTCCCCCGCCGCTCGTCGCCGTCTTCCGCGCCACCGGCGCTCCGCAGGAGCCCCTCGAGTCGCCCGAGCTCGCGCTCCGCCGCCGCCGCCGCGGCCATAGATCGAGATCGCCGAGTCGACGGAGTAGGAGATCGGAACACGCTACTGTTACCGAAACGATACCAAAACGAGAACATAACGGAGTTTTGATATAGCAGGTGGCGGAAGTCTGTGGAAGCATCCAGAACATTTCCTGTAGCAGATAATCCATGATTGAGGTGGTGGCCACATGTCTGCGTGGAGCCCACAATTATTTAAGCGGGGCCAGAACGGACGTCTGGCGGATATCGTGCCACGTGGGATGGAGGTCCGTTCGGGATCCCCGGGTTATAGCGTTTGGGGTCAGCAAAGGAAACAAGACGCCATACATCTCCCCTCCGTTTCAACCCAATGACATGTTTGTCCTCTTCTCGGAGTCACTACACACATTGGTTGCGTCCAAGAACTTACCGAGGTCAGGAAGGCAAGACTCTAATTTTATTTTAATTGGATGTGGATTTAATTTCAAAACCATAAATGAAATGATATGTAATTGGATGATCTTTGCATTTCTTAGGATTCCAAGAACACAGCAGATGCTTGTCGAGCTGAAGCAAGAAGCAAGAGGAATGAATCTCAAACGAAGAACAGCAAAGTTTCTTGGAATTCTGTCATGATGAACAAGAAAATCAATCATCTCGACGAACAAAAAATTTCGATTATTATGTCTTCGAACAAGCAGTAAAAGAATCGGTTTCAATGGTACAGAAATCATGAATGGCAATCTTGCAGCTGGCCAACAACTAGGAGTTGGTGGTGAATGTGCCAACGTAGCCGAAACCCATGACGACAAATGCAAATGCTTGAAGGTAGATGTACACATAGTAGTAGTTCACTCCGAAGGTAACATTGTAGGAAGCACAGCACATGAGGAAGACCGCAAACCCGAGCTGCAAGAAGCTCACCCTGAGATCCAAAAAGAGATGGTAATGTTGATATGGTATTCGTTTGCATCTCCAGAAGCTATGTAACATTTGCTTACCTGTCTCTTATGAAGCTTGTTCTTGTGGATTCTGCAACATTGGTTTCCATCTTCTCTTTCAGGGTGTCTCCAAGCTTCTGTGTCACAACCCATTCATTTACGCTTGCTGTCTCCAGTAGACCGATCAAGGCTGCTTTCATCCGGTGCATGGACATGACGTTCTCAAACAAAATCCAGAATGGCATTATGTGAAGGGAGCTGCGACGAAGAGAGGGCATATCAGGGAAGAAAGTTCTGATCAAGGGGTATGTTCATCAGTAAAGATTGATACCTGGGATTTCTGATGGCATTGAGAACGGTAATTGTTGTAGGGATGTAGACCACCCCCCATATCGGAATGCTTACTTCTGGTACTACAACTGATACTGGAATCACGATGCAGTAGAATGCAAAGGTGACGATCGGCGCCACAACTCTTCTAACAAAGAAGAAACTGTAGATCACATGGATTTTCTTCAACAGGGATACCTCCTGCTCCATAACAAAGAGACAAGTCTCAGGGAAGTAAGATCGACCGATGTATGCTTGTTTACTTGAAGAAGGCTTCTGCTACCTTTGCGAGTACAATGTCGCGTGCCATTTTTCTAAATAAGTTGGCAGCTCCACAGGTCCATCGATGCTGTTGATGTCGGTAAGCCTTGAAGGTACTTGGGAGTTCGCTTCTGACCTGCAATAGTTGTGGCAAAACACTTACAGATTACTGAGCTTCTCCTTTGCTGAATACTGTCATGGATCACAGCAAATTTGAGTACCTTGACGTCACCAACATACAAGAATTTCCAGCCCTTGAGACTGGCTCGAACAGCCAAGTCCATGTCCTCAACCGTCGTTCGATCTTTCCAGCCTCCTACTTCATTGATAGCAGATATTCGCCACACGCCAGCAGTTCCTGTGAGAGTGAATATTGTGATGGACTGGAATACTTGAAAACCATGTCCTCTTTCTTTGAACATTCAAATAATTTTTGCAACTTTACGATTGCATACATGGTTTATGCTTTTTTTCACTTTCAGCAGTTCAATTCGAGTTCAAACATCTGACACGACTAAGATTTTGTTGTTCAAGCAACTCTTACTGAACTAGGGATGATGCACATTTATGTTGCAAAGTAGCTGATCAGCAGTAGGATATGATGCTTTCATTACCATTAAAGCCGAAGAAGGCGTAGGAAGATGAGCCTGACTCTTGCTCTACTTTGAAGTGGTAATCAAGCGATATCTTCTGAATCCTGGTCATCAGGCACTTACTGTAATTCACTGCAAAATCGCCCGGCAAATGCCGTGTCAGCAACCTCCTGTCAATTTGAGAAGTACAAAAATCAGAATGAACAAAAGCATCTGCCATTTTATGCTAAAATGGCGTAATAAGGATCAGTATGAAGACAATGTAGGTACTCAAATGCTCATCTTTCAGTTGAATGATCTAGTGGTTGTCTTAAAAGGTCAAGTGTCCTGTAAATCAAACTTATATGTACCTTTCAATCTTTGAGATCATCATTAAATTTGCTTGATGAAATAAATAAAGATTGGGGCAGCAGTTAAACAATGGCTGGTGTGCAAGGTAAGAGTGTAGGGAAAGAGAATGAGATAGCAATGAAGATAGACTCTTTTGGAGGATTTGGCAAAGATAGGAGCTACACTATCCCAAAGAAATAAATGTATTTACAACAACAACAACAATGCCGCAAGTCCCAACTATTTGGGATCGACTACATGGATTTTTTGTCACAATTAAAATATGTAAAAAAAATGACTGCATTTAAATGGATCATTATTTATGAGGTTCATCTGATTATTTTCATAGTTTGCAGGGAAATGTGGATGGAAAGATGGATTCAGTGTTTCCAATTTGTCAAATCAGCATACATGGTCGATACAAGTTCATATATTCTTGGCACTCTCCACAACATCCAGTTTAGGTATATTTTCAGTTCTTGATATGTCAAGGTGTTCATCCCCATGAAGTTCCTCAACCATCTAAAGTTTCTCTCTCTTGGGTACTTTATTAGATCAGAGTTGTACAATACTGGATCTTTATGAGCAAACAAATGATCTAACTCATTCACAACATAATTTCTTCAGAGAAGAAGCTAAAACATAACACAGTTCATCTCTATGTCAAGATTCAGGTCTAGCTTTACCTGTGTACCCTAATATTAACATGATAATTTGGCATTCTGATCCAGTTAGCACAGCAGAAGATAGAAACCAAAATTTTCTTAATGCTGTTGTCCACAAATATTAGAATTTATTGTACTTTCATTGATTGGCAATCGAAATGTTTCGTTTGCCTTCTATAAAATTACATAAATCTACATCTTTTATGACACAGCTTCAAAGTAAGCATGCAGCACGTGAATATTATTAGCACATTATAATTTCTTGAAGCTAGATCGATCATCTACTCGCTTGGAAGGACCTGACATGCTTACCGAAATCCCACCGTGCCTGAACCAGAGCGATCCTGGAATTGTACATGAGGAAGGGTATAGTTCTCATGAGGAAATCAGATTCTGGTTGGAAATCAGCATCAAAGATGGCAACATAATCACATTGTTGGGCATACGTTTGCTCCATTCCTTTCTTTAGAGCTCCTGCTTTGTATCCCTTCCTGTTTTCTCTGACCTCATAAGCTATGTTGATGCCTTTGCTTGCCCAAGTTCTGCATTCCTGCTCCACCAAGTTCTACAGTGAAAGAAACAGAAGCATTTCAATTGAAATTGCACTCATAACATGAGCTCATTTGGAAGATAAGATAAAAAGTGTTGAGTGGATTCAAGTGGCAAATAATAGTCAGAATCTAGCAAGATAAAAATCATCGGATGATAACATCACATGTTTGACTCAGTACCGACTTCTCTTCTCTTGCCTTTTTCCAGTAACCATGAATGTAAAACTGCCAAATAGACTTTAATCGGGACATTTGACACATTTGTATTATATATGCATTGTTAACTATAAAGCAACTCCGTTACTAGTCTTTCTCACTTAGAATTTATAGATCTCATGAAGATCACAATTCCAAAATTGGAAGCATCATTATCGCTTGTACCATCATGAACTCCATCGTTAGTCTTTCTCACTCAAACATAGAATTCCAACATTTCAATTCTTTTACTCTTTGAGTAGATTGTCAACTCATGTTCCACCATATAACCATGTCAAATTTTGTAGCAATACTTATCTGTAATTAATGGTATGGGAGCAAGTTGACAAAAGTTAAGGGACCCATTTGAAGATTGATTCATAATTCAAACACTGAAGTCTGTGGGTTACCTGAACGAACACCCACCTACTGCCCAACTTTTGACTGACCAAAAGAAAACAGCAGAGTGAGGTTCCCCCAACACGACAGAACATGCCATCTGTTATAAATGGTTGTACTGATCTCCGGGGGCCTGCCCCTCTACACTGTTCAAGACCAAGCAATCTCAATGATCTCTCTCTCTCTCTCTCTCTCTCTCTCTCTCTCTCTCTCATGCGGACCACCTTCTCCTAGTTCAACTTGTCAGGAAAACCTCAAAAATAATCAGACATGGCATCGTCAAGAAATCAGGGTGGAGAAGGTAATCAGATCTGATGACTTCATTTAGAATTGCAGCTTCAGGGCAGGGTCCCATGCCATATTACCAGATGCTCAAATTCTAATCTAGGCAGAGTGCCAACTGGAATGCACCTCCAACAACAGCTACTGGACAAATCAAGATTTGAAACTCGATGTTTCCCCTTTCTATTTTGGGTGCTGATGAGGGTGGGAAAAGTTCATGAGCACCATTTGATCCCGGAGCAGATAGAGCTTAGCTGTGCTGCAGAATCATGTACTGTGATGGAGATTGGAGGAAGTCTGGTTACCTTGATCATGGGGTCGGTGGAGTCATCGAGAACTTGGATGATGATCCTATCTGGAGGCCATGTGAGAGCGCATGCTGCTCCGATAGATAGCTTGTAGACCTGCAATTTCACAGAAACGGTAAGAAGGGCAGATCTCAAAGGGAAAGGAAGAATCAATTGACCGCTTGAGGTGAGCAGAGTGCGAGAGACAGAGACCACCATCTACCTCTTTCTCATTGTACATGGGGATCTGGACGAGCACCATGGGGTAGGCCAAGCTCCCTAGCTCCTCATCCCCTCTTATGGGCTCCCACCTGTAGCGCTTCTCCGGCGTCCGGTGGAGCAGCTTCACGCCGAGGCTCACGGCGCTCATGTACATGGCCTCCAGCATTAGCATCACCGACATGACCAGGCACAGAAGGATCGCCACTCGCAGCGCCGGCGCGATCGCCCTTTTCCGCACCTCCACCAAAACGGCCTCTAAATGCTCGGGCGAGAACTCGCTCAACGACTCTACGAACTCAAAGATCGACGAGCGGAGAGAAGGGGGCAGCTTCACTGTGACGCGTAAAAGCACGTGAGGAGGAGGAGGAAGAGG